AACCTCTGCCGTTAGCAGAAGCATGCTGCTGGGCTGGCTTTTGCTGCGTATTTCAGACCTTTCCTCAGGAGCACACTCACTTCCAGGGTTAAGGCTGCTCACTTCTGGTCTCAACTTGAATCATAAACTTGACCAGGGCTTTTATTTTCCCTGCTACCAGGAAGAACCAGAATGTGGATGGTTTTATGGTGCACCTGGGTTTTTCAGTCGTTTTGGTTCTTCTTTCTTCTGTCTGTTAGTGTCTTCCAAAGTATTCTCCAGTGACTCTTTCTCTCCACCTCAAATATTTCTTCGTCTCTGCATCAGCTGCTACGAGTGCGCTGTTCTCCTTTTATGAAACTCATCACTCTGTGCGCATAAGGTCCAGCCTGATGCTTTGAAAGAAGAGTGAATAGCTTGGTTTTTCTCCTCTCTGAGCCTCTGAGAGTGCTGCGTGAGCTCTCCTTGTGCTGGCTGCTCCACACAAGAGCGGGAGCAATAGAGAAGGTGCCATTCATCCTTCTTTCCCCAGGAGGCCCTACAGGATGTTTTTGTTCTCGATGTGCGGTGATCCTTCCCGTATTTAGTAAATCTCCCTCAGCCTGGATGTCTGTTCTGTGGTGATAGAAGAGGCAAAATGCCCTGGTTTGGGATCACCTCTGCTAACGCCAGTCTGCTCCACTGAAATTGATTTCTAAACCAGAGCAATACTATTGAAGGATTAATGTAAGATTAGAGTATTTATATTAAAATACCTTATAATGTGAAATAAATACATGTTCTTAGGTTATAGCTAGAAGCTAGTTTTAACTGTTCTATTAATTAAAGATTTTATTTGCCTAATGCTAATGAAGAGACTGGATTTCATGCGAATGGGCCTACAGCCTTCTGAATTCCCAAGTGCTTTTTAATTCTAGTGTAAACAGTAGTGTGCAGCCCACGCTTCACACCAGTGCTTGTTTGGGTCCTTGCATGGATCATCAGGCCCTTTTCCCTGGCCATCACGGTGCTTAGTATCTGTGCAAAAAATCAACTGCCCCATAGTGGTGTCTTCGCTCACCCGATAATTTCAGTACATTATGCTCAAAGGGAGATTGTTTTATCTGGGGAAGTTGTATGAAGTTTCCTTTCAGGAGGAACTAAGGTTGTGACTAGTGGGCTGGTGTTTGAAATGTCATCTAAAGTGTTTGTACATGTCTACATGCTTATATAGACAGTCACTTGGTACACTGGCAAATACATACCATGCATTTACTATGTTTTTTTTCTTTCATTGACAACTGCAGCTTATGGCCAGATTCCCATGTAAATTTTTACACACACAGATGCACACATATGCTCACAGATATAGATATATAGATATAATTTGTATGGTTTTTAATTCATTTGGAACGTTTTGTGTAAAACATCTTCTCACTGACATGCCAGCATATTCTGTTTGGCTAGCGCCTTTAAGCACTGAGGCTGTCTGTAACAGCAGTTTGAGTAATCGATGATGGGAGTCTGTTGAAATGAAGCCAATAAGTCTGTGATGAGTTTGCTTTGTCAAACAGGGTAACAGAAGTTATTACTTAATTCTTTGCTGAGTATTTCTCACAGTGGGTAGCTGTGGAGTTTAGCATAGCCGCGTAAGCACGAGCATGGGCGATGCAAGGGGGGTCACAGCAACGAGAACAAGTGCATGTCTGTATTCAGGCTCAGGCCCATTCAGTATGTAGCTGACTTGACACCTTTTTAGTGAACAGTGAAGAAAGAGGAGACTGAAGGCTATCCCCAGTTTCATATTTTTATGAACCACTTCTTGTCTTTATTATGAGCTGACTCCTCGGGCATTCCTAGTGGGATTGAACACTGTGTGTTAGGCACTGAGAGCTCTGAATCGCTGCTATATTTAGTCCATAAATGTCATAATTTGAAAACAATTTCCTAAGATAATTTTTATAGTTTTGCAACTGAAACAAATGTGCATGACCTATATATTTCTACTTCTATCATTATTCTAGAGACATGTCTTCCTTTTCCCTGAAAGGAAGAGTTGTTCCACAACTGCCACACAGCATCCCCCAGTCCTCTGTGTAGCGTTGTAACAGGGTCATCTGAACAGCGCTCAGGATCAGGTAGAAGAAATCTTAAGATCTTCCAGCCTCAGATTGGTTAAAAGGGTGACAGAGAGTCATGAACAGAAGGTTAAACAGAAGGTTGTAAACTGTGAATGCAGCAGGGATGGCTGCACTCTTAGTTACTAGTGCTTCAGAAACTAAATGTGTATCAGGCTGCTGTTAAAAGTTGTTTGCCAGATGAAGAAGCCATTCAGTTGGTAACACAAGAAGTCAACACTCTGAAAGATGCACACACCAAAAGCAAATTAATCAGGATAGTGAAAACAGACGCAGAAGTCAGGTAGTCACAAGGAGGAGCAGCAGCAGACTGGTGAAAGATTCTCACCCAGTCTGCACAGGGGAAGCTGCGGATGTTATACAAAGACACGCTGTTCTCATTTCCCTGCATTTGCTTTATACTCCTGTTTATTGCACATCAAACACATTTACATATCCAGGGAAGAAATGGAAATGATTGATGCAAAGGAGGTATTTTTGTTCATTGTTGTTGCTCTGAGTCATGCCTGACTGGGACTGCTGGAGATGGGTGAGGAAAGAGAACTATTACTAGAGGTGTAAATAATTGTCAGGAGCAACTTTTAAACCCATCTGTTACCACATATCAACATCTAAAAATATCCAAAGATGGGAGAGGCAGCAATACAAGGTCTAAGCCGATGCCATGGCTCTGTTGATGTAGATGTTGGCAACTGCCTCTGAATCTGTCTCCATTTTTTTTCATTTCTGCTCCCTTGGAGCTTCGTTCATTTTCTGTCACAACTCTTACCAGTGCCTGCTGGATGTTGCAACAGTGTCATACGCTCAGAGCTGATGGGTGCTGATGTGTGTCACTGCACAACACTAGTGGAATGTGTCCACAACGATTCTTAATGTGCTCTCATACGTGCAAGGTAGAGCCAAGATGAGCATCCAATTTAAGAAGGGAAAGCTGTGCTTGAAGTGCTTAAAGACAGTGCTTTTACAGTGGATCTGTACTGCAGACAGGAGGATTTCTGGTCCCTCCTGCTCTGCAGGAGTAGTAAAGAGGGAATTTAGAAATCTGTCTATGAATGGTTGTGTGATCTTTGGGTTCACTATTGTTGTGGGCTGTGTAAATAACTGAAGTGGATCAAAACAGCTGAAGTGCAGTTTGATCATGTGTGAGCGGCAGCCAGAAAACTCAAGCTCCAAATTATTTTGGAAATACCATCCATCAGAATGTCACCTGATGCCACCACAAATCATGGCTCCCAATGCCAGTGATAATGAACATACATCCATGGCACTCCCTAGTTTATATCCTTCCACCTGTAACCGTTCTGCTGTGAAATAATCCATGAAACAGCTGTTTTCATTAGATAGTAATTAAAGAAATGTCCCTGCAGCAGAACGTAGTCCATAGTGTGGCCTCATAACTTTATTCCAGTAAATATATTATAGATCTAGTAGGTGGAGAACTCAAAACGAATAAGGACAAAGCATTCAGCCCTGTTTCCTTTTGATTTGTTTGCACGGGGAAAATATCTGCACTTTTAGGAATATGTGGGGAAATATACGTTTTTATGACAAACCTGAGGTTTATGGGGAAGCTATGGGGAATCTTTAGTGGCAGAAAATGGGTAATATCGTAAAAAGAAAGGTAATTGTCTTGGAGATTGTTAGCAATTTGAAGATTTTTCGTTTAACTGGAGTTAGCTCTTATATGAGATGGCCCTCATAAAGTGTTGGTTTGTTTACAGGGTAACATGTCTGCAGCAAGCTTGCCTCCTGCTTACTTGCTTCATTGTTCTCTAGGCTCAAGAAAGAGTACTGAGATCAGACTTTTCTTAAGAAATCTTAGGGCTCATGATTTATTAATGTATTGTTTGCAGTCAGATGAGTCATGCAAACTCACGAGCCTATTTTTGTACCAGACTGTGTGTTAATTTTAGTCATGAATCTTCAGCTGGTTATTCTGACTGACAGAAATCATGAGTATTTTGGTTTTGCTTTGTCTTTATGATATCACCCTGTAATTCAGGTGAGTTGTTATTGAATGAAATATTTCTCAGTAAAAAACCTCAGTCTGTGAAACCCTGCTTGAAGCATACTGAATTGCAGTCCATTTCAGATTGCCATAAATAGCTGTACAAACTGAATTTAATAGCTAAAAATGAACGGACAGTTTGAGTTCTGCAGTTATTTGCTCTATTTCAAATCAATATTTCTCGGTGTCTTTTGTATTCTTGACAGGTGAGGTTGAATAATTATAATCTTTATATCAACAAATGCTTTTGTACTACATGATTATAACTAATTTCAATCAAGCACTTGTCTAAAGTTAAGTCATATGAATGCATTTTGGATCTCTCATTATCTTCACTCCAACCCATTTAATAATAGGGTTCTTCTTAAGTAGGTGGCTCAAGCCAGTCTTCCACATGGCATTATTTTTAGCACTTGCAGCATTCACATTAAATTGCTCATGGTTCTCTTATATTCTGACCAAACGTGGTATGGATTATCATCTTGTACATGCATGTCTCAGTCCAGAAGAGAAGCAGCAAGATTATAGAAATCACTTTTCCCACTGTTTCTGGTATTACTGAGGGTTAGTATTTCAAAGTAGAGGGGAGTACACTTCAGTTAATTGGCTTCTACATAAAGTAACTACCACTGAAGAGCTGATGGGTCAAAGCAATTCTGTTTCCCTGATAGCTGCTTGTTTCCTTTCATCTCTCTCTCTTTGTCTCAATTTACTTTGTATTTAATTTACAGTATTTATGAACCTTTAAGGTTTTTACTGTTTCAGTAAACTTAAAGTGCCTACCTTACACCGGAAGAAGTGAAGGGGGTGGTGGCGGTGGCTGGTAATCGTTCCATTGGAGAATAAAAAAGTGAAATCCACTGAATCTGAAATCTGTGTTTAATGATATGTTTCAGGAACTTCTATTACATCACGATGCTGAGGGATCCAGTGTCACGGTACTTGAGTGAATGGAAGCATGTCCAGAGGGGTGCGACGTGGAAAACTTCCCTTCATATGTGCGATGGAAGAAGCCCAACACCAGACGAGCTGCCTACCTGTTACGAAGGAGACGACTGGTCTGGAGTCAGTTTACAGGAATTCATGGATTGTAGCTACAACTTGGCCAACAACCGCCAGGTGCGCATGCTGGCAGACCTCAGCCTGGTGGGATGCTACAACTTGACTTTCATGAATGAAAGTGAAAGAAATACGATTCTTCTCCAAAGCGCCAAGAACAATCTGAAAAATATGGCCTTCTTCGGGCTCACAGAATTCCAGAGGAAAACACAGTATCTCTTTGAGAGGACATTCAGCCTGAAATTCATTTCCCCATTCACCCAATTCAATGTTACACGGGCCTCCAATGTGGACATTGGTGAGGATGTCCGGCAACGGATAGAGGAGCTGAATTTCTTGGACATGCAGCTGTACGAATACGCAAAGGACCTGTTCCTGCAGCGCTTCCAGTACTCCAAGCAAGAGGAACATCAGAAGAACCGGCTAAAGAGGCGAGAGGAACGGCGACTGCTGCGGGAGCAGAGAGCTCACCAGCGGCCAAGGGAAGAGGCAGCAGAAGTAGCTGTTACTGAAGATTATAATAGTCAGGTTGCAAGGTGGTGATGCTCTTCCATCTTGACTAAGCAATGAGAGGATCAGAGAGTTTGTGCAACTTGGCTACCTGGGAATTAGCCAAGGAAGGCCTACTGCTTTGACAAATAAGACCATGTCTGACAATTACCGCTCTTTGTCTCAGTTTTTCTTGGTTTCTGCCAGTGAGGAGAATGTATTTTTTCTCAGTAGGCATTGATTAGTGTTATTAAATGGCAGTAGAATAGATTCCTGTCCAAAAAGACTTTCTTAAAAGCCCTAAGCTATGAGGATGGGTTGAAGAGAGAGCTACATCCTTTGCGTTAACAGATATACCCTTTACAATCTGAGCTACCAAAACTTGTGGAGACATGAATGAAAAATTGTGAAAACATACCAGGTTTGGTTCCTCTGTGACATTAGAGCTGGTTTATGTCATATTGTCCTTTGCAACTGTAGCACGTAGCTTTCTAGTGAATGAAATGGAGGAAAGAGCCATTCAAACTTCTACATGCTGTGTTTGGTTAAGGGAAGAATTTGCTGAGGTGTTTAAAAAAGACCTAGGAAATGTGGGATTGGGGCATCGCTTGTTCTGTTCTGTTAGCGAGCAACCAGAGATGATTTATAAGTGAAGTGATGGAAGGGTTAGCTTATTTCTCTGCAGATGTTGAGAGTACTGAACCCAGCCAGGTAGCAGCCATCTTTCTGAGTGCATGTGGCAAAGGGAAAGCCTTGAGAAATTAGGTCCATGCAGCAGCTGGGCACACATCATGGAGACTGTCTGGCTGGAGGCAATGAAATCAGCCTTCACATTCACAAAAGGTGCAGAGGGGCCAAACAAACTATAGGGAAAAGGAAAGAGAGAGCAGGAAAAGCTTAAATATTAGTGTGACATTTTCCAGATTTGCTGTAAAAGCCTGGAGATCTATTGTCTCTGAAGGTAGGCAGGTTTATGATGTTGTCTGTTAAAATACATCGATGCCAAGTGAATACAATTTAAATTGTTTTTCTCTCTAACTACGGTAGTGTCTAGAAAAAAATCAACTTTCATTGTTACAGGATACATAATGGATATGTGGAAAGTCTTGATATTTATTGCTCTGTATGAAGATTCTTTGTAAATTTATTGTTTTCATGATGAGAGAGCTATATCTGTTTTTCTTCCCTGTCTAGAAAAAGACTGAATGGGTTCTTCCTCCACATGTTACTTTCTTGTGGCTAAACTGCATCTATTTATTCCAAGATCTTATGTTGTTCCATTAGTAATAGTGAAGTTTTTAAAAGAGGGCCCTGTGCACCATAGATCTTTTGAGACAGTTTTTTTCCTTCTTCTTCTAGCATAATTGTAAAGCATTAGGAGGAAATTTCTCTAAGTGCCTCAACATGGCTGCTAAATCAAGATGCTGAAGGTATATTATTGCATGCATGAATGGCTTTTACCTGACAGATTTGCTAATTAGAGATACCAGAGTACCTGATGTGGATACACATTTCTCATTTATTTTCAAAATTCAAGGCTTTTATCCAGTTGATAAAAAAATGTTACAGAAAAAAGAGGCTGAATTTGAAAATTTCTCCTTTCATTTCCAAGTCCTTTTTTTTTAGTGTATGCTGTATCTTCTTTTTTTCTGACAATGCTATTGCTACTTATCTATGCACAATATCAAAAATATGGTCTAATGATCCTGTTGAGAGTTAATGCATACAATAATACATTAAACATGGAATGTCATAAAGGCTATTAAGAGGTGAAGAGGGCTACCAGGATGATGCCTCATTATCAATGTAATTTATTAGCAATATGCTGCTTTACACCTGATTGTCAATGTGCTACTTTTGGGGCGAGTAGCAGTGGGTTTTGGTGTATAATAGCTGTTCCACTTGCGGATCATGTGCATCTGCTCACACCTCTGCATTCAGAAGGGAGGCCGCAGCACTGCAGATCATTATTCTCCTGCCCAAGCGTAGGATGTCTGCCTTAGAGCAGAGCAAGGAGCATACCAGACTCCCTGGACAGTACTGCTTGGAAGAGGCGTTCAGACACCTCACTCACGTGTGGACACCTGCCTTCAGAGATTTAAATTGAAATGTTTACAGTCTAGGACTGAAGCCCACTCTGCGTGTCGTGACTGCAGGATGGTGAGGCCATGAAGAGCTAAAGCCTGACCAGCACAGTGCAGGTAATTCGCAGTGAGCTGACATCATACCTGCTGGCATCAGGGCTTCAGGCCAGGCTGGCCCTGGCCCTGTGGAGGGAAGGAGCTTTCTGGCTGGTGGTGCAGGGACGACAGGGAGCAGCTGCATCTCCCCATACTCGGGCACATTGCTGCAACTCCTCCTGTGCTGCAGACCCCGCAGCAAGAGAGGGGAAGGATGCCTTTGGCACCTGATAGGCTATGTCCAGGATTTGCAGGTGTGCTCCTTGTTGCCGTGAGTGCAGGGAGTGCTGGGGGGGGCCCCGAAGGGTCCCCCGGCAGAAGCAGAGGCGGTGTGGGCAGTGGTGGGGGAGAGGCAGGGCTGGCAGGCAGGGAGGGGGGCTCAGCAGGAGGCAGGGCTGCGCAGGAGCGAAGCCAGGCACTTGGGAGGAAAGATGCAAGGCCAAATTCACATGAAGGAGGAAGATAAGCAAGGGAGTAGAATCAGTCCCAGCACATCTTCTGTTGTAAAGCATCCTTTCTTCTTCCTCACAAGCACAAAAACAGGGGTCCCTTCCATGCACCCCTGCCTCTTTCCCCAGCAGGCCACCTCTCTGCGCCACTCACAGCAACGGGGGCCTCATTTTTCATATAGAAAATGCAGTGTTATCTTTTCAAGGGAGAGGAGAGAGAGCTCAGAAATTCTTCCCTGCAGCCTCACCAGTGACTGTATCGGTTTCAGCTAAGTGCACCAACCATTCTCCAGACTATTCCTTCTGCCTGACACAAAACAAAGCCCAATAAGGAAAATCAAAGCAGTCTCTGGGAGGTTTACTTTAGCTTTAATAGTTTGGCAATACCTTAATGGGATGCCTAACCTTTCTGTCAATCATTTCCCAGGAGACAAGATTAGGGACCTGAAGAGCTGTTAATGTGCTGTAGCATCTATGTTAACGGGATTTGCCTTAACGCTTAAGATTTAGTTAGAATTGAAATTGGTTTGTTGAGTTTTTTCCCCTGGAGCCTGTGTAGCAGATAGCCCTGGTTGCACAGCAATAGCTGTGTGGGGGGGATGCAACCAGTGGCTGAGATCTTGCCTATATGCCCTGGGACTGAAGGACCCGGCACCTCCTTCCCCAGCTCCAGCAGCAGATCCAGCAAACTCACCATGCCAACAGTGTGCCAGAAATGTGCCAACAGGCTCACTGTGCCTGTTCTTAGCAGAATTTCTTGGCCCTGAAAAATAAGGCAGTTTGGAAATACTTTCAGGCTGATTTCTAAGACAGAGGCTTACAGCTTTTTTCCTCTTGGGCACTGCGCCCGAAATAATATAACGCAAAAGCAGAATAAAGGCCCTGGTTCAAATCTCTGTTACTCCAGGTTTTCATTGCTCTGACAGCATGGACTTCACTGTAATTACACTGGCTCATATTACATCGGAGCTCAGTCTGTTCCTTTCGAAACCTTTGTGAGCAACAACTCTATAGGATTTCTGTCCATCTTCCTGGCATTATTTGGCTTCTGGAACTGTGGTGCTGAAACAAATCTCATTCTTTTGTAATGGAGATGTACTTGCTAATCTGTCCCATCACACCCTCAGCGCTGGCTGCCTTTTCCAGTTATAATTCACTGTAGACTTGGAGCAGACAGAGAAACATGCTGTGTTGTTCAAACTTGTTCCTGGTAATTCGATGTCTAGTCCAAGAACTCAGCCTATTGCCTATGGGCCATACTTTATTAAGAACTGAAAATTTATCCTCTCTTCCCCACTCATCAGTGCAAACAATAAAAAGCTTTTTTCACCACAGGGAAAGAAAAAAACACCATTTCTGATGTTGAGTATTCTTCACTGCAGTTGTATTAACAATGAGGCTGCGACAGCCTTACTAAGGCTTCTACCTAATAAACGGTAGTTATTTGCAGTTCACTAAAAACCAGAGTATAGAGCAAAAAAGTGATGGAAGTCAAATCCAGAGCCAGAATTCCTAACTGCAGTGTATCCATTCAACCCAACCAAAAGGCAGGTCACATCACCTGTGTATCTGGAGATATTTCAGAGCCGGCATCCACTACTAAACTGGGAGGTTTATCAAGTTGGCCTTCTCGTTAACACATGCTTCCTCCTGCACTAGTGGGTTCTTGTTTCCCACCTGCAGTCTTTGTATCAGTTGTGAGCACTGATGTTATAAAACTTGTTATCCTCCATTGCTGTTCCCCTGATATATGTGGAATTACTCTTTTCTGGTCTGGGATAGAGAATATCTTGTTTCCAGACAGGTGGAGATTACCCTGTATGAGACCCTGAGGTGAACAATCACAATAAAATCATTCTGCTGGAGCAGATTGCTGTATCCTCCCTACATGTGGCAAAAGCATACTCAGAAAAGGTACCCAGTTTGCACTGAAACACTTATTCCAGTTTGGTTCTTGTAATACTTTCTTTGATATTTTGTGGAGGTAAATGGATTTCATAGCCTGCAATGTCCTTGGCTTTCTTCTTGGCCATATCACTAGCTCTGTGATTTCAGTAAATGTTGGAAGTGAAAAACAAAACAAAACAAGAGTTTCCATCAGTTGCCATATTTAAGATGAAAGGGTAAATTAATAGGCTGTAACTTACTTTATTCTTTAGGAGTTTTCCTTCTGTTTATGTGCAATAATGTGTGTGAACTCTGCTACTAAGAGATTGTATCGTGAGTAACCATATCTACTTTTATTCCTATTTACAAGATAGTTTGTAGACCTAGGGATTTTCATTGATGTAAAGCACAATTTAATGAATTATTTAATGTGTTTAACCATTGTGATGTCAGAACAATTGTTTTCATATATTTATTTGTTGGTGGTTTTCTGTAAAATGATGCTCATTAAGAAATCTGTTAAAAATGAAGTTTTGTTGAATATTGTTGGGTCCATGAATTACTTACGAGCAACAAATAAACATTGTTTGTGTTTTTGAAACACTAAAGGTTCCATGTTATCTACATAGCCATAAAAATGACTAACAATGCTACATTGGGCCAGTTTCAAGCATTAGTAAAGATCCACCATGATCATAATTATGTTTTTTTAACAAAATGTACATGGTGGAAAAGCATGTTGATATAACTTACTATTTAATTATTGTTGGGGTCCATTACCTGATCTTTTGAATCTGATTGACTTTGGTG